TCCAAGGAACACCCAGGACTGATCTCCTTCAGGATGGACTGGTTGGATATCTTGCAGTCCAAGGGACTCTCAAGAGTCTTCTCCAACACCACAGTTCAAAAGCATTAGTTCTTCTGCGCTCAGCTTTCTTCATAGTCCAGCTCTCATATCCATACATGACTACTGGAAAAACCATAGCCTTGACTAGACAGACCTTTGTGGACAAAGTAATGTCTCTGCTTTTTAATATGCTGTCTAGGTTGGTCATAACTTTCCTTCCAAGGAGCAAGCATCTTTTAATTTCATGACTGAAGTCACCATCTGCAGTGATTTTGGAGCCCCTCAAAATAAAGTCTGTCACTGTTTCCATTATTTCCCCATCTATTTGCCATGAAGTATTGGGACCAGATGCCATGATCTTAGTGTTCTGAATGTTGAGTTTTAAGCCAGCTTTTTCACTCTCCTCTTTCACTTTCATCAAGAGGCTCTTTAGATCTGTAGTTAGGTCCCAGTTTTCATTCCTAAAATTAGTTCTTGTGTTTTTTTTCTTTCCTTTATTGTTATTGTTTAATCTCACCAGATGTTTGTCTAATTTATTATTTTTTTCAAATGACCATCTTTTCCCTTTGTTGATCCTCTGTCATACCTCTGCTTTTACTTCATTGATTCATGCTCATAAGTGTATTATCTTCTTTGTTCTACTTCTGAGGAGCTTATTGTGCTTTTTTTGTGTGTGTATTTTTTAAATTATCATTTTTATTTGGAGGAAGACTTTGGTCTTCATAGCCCAAATGAACTAATTTTCAAGCAACTATTAATTAAAAAGTATAATCTTACAATCCTGATGAGAGACATGGGAAGCACAATAAATAGATTGTATGGGACTTTTTGGGCTTTCCAGGTGGTGCTAGTGGTAAAGAATCCACCTGCCAATGCAGGAGATGTAAGAGACTTGTGTTCAATCCTGGAGGAGGTCATGGAAACCCACTCCAGTATTCTTGCCTGGAGAATCCCATGGATAGATGAGCCTGGCAGGCTACAGCCATGGGGTCGCAAAGAGTCGGACAGTACTGAAGCAACTTAGCAGGCAGGCACACACGCCTGAGACTTTTCCCACTGGTTGGCATGAATCTGTCCCTTTTCTCTTGTTTTGTAAGCTACTGCTCACATTCCTGTTTATTCAAACTGTAGTAGCAGCTTAAAGTTGGAAGTAGCAGCTCCCATATCCAAAGATTGTTTCACTTAAATCTCCCTCTGTTTGGGGTGTTTTTTAAAATCTTTTAATTTTATATAATTTTATTTGATTTTATTTCAATTTGTACACTCTACAAAGCTAGTAAGTCTTTTTTAACATTTCTATGGGCTTCCCAGTCGGTGCTAGTGGTAAAGAATCTACCTGCCAGTGCAGGAGATGCAGGTTTGATCTCTGGGTCAGGAAGATGCCCTGGAGGAGGAAATGGCAACCCACTCCAGTATTCTTGCCTGGAGAATCCCATGGACAGAGGGGCCTGGTGAGCTATAGCCCATGGGGCCACAGAGTCAGACATGACTGCAGCTGAGAACACAGCCCTGAATGGGCATTTTATAGGGCTGATGGTTTCCCTTACAATTTATTAGCTGGAAAATTTACAACATATAAGAAGTTGAAAGAACAGTACAATTCCCATCAGAACCAGTTCCATCCATTCAGGAAACAAGTTCTCCAACTACTTACATACCATCTGCCCCTCCATTTCTCTTCCAGATAGCAGAGCAAGGCTGTTTCCATCATTTCAAAAGAAAAACAGATTCTCACCCATATGCAAATCTATATTCCTAGCAAATCTTCCAAGATAGACTTGAGATGTGCCAAAGGCAGTATTCCAAGTGTAAATGTTTGGAAAGTTCTAGTCCATTTATTTTTGTCTCGGTTGTTAACCTCCAAAACAGTACACTCCTTTCTCCCACACATCCAGGTTTTACTGATTCAGTCTGGCTGCATTTTTCTCCTTATGTCCCCAAACCTCACTCACTCTCATTTTTATGTATATTAAGAAAAGCCTTTGTCATCCGACACATCTCCATGCACATTCATTGTACTGGGCACTTCTTCAGGTGTTGACGATGCAGCAGTGACCTTGGGTTCTCAGCTTTCATGCAGGTAAAGCAGTTGGATGGCAGTCATACTGACAACTCACAAGAGAAGTGAGCAGATGGGAACACGAGGAAATCCCTGAAATCCCTCCAAGTAGGCGACCATTTGCATGCACTCCCAGAGGCTACCTTCATTTGGGCTGCGGGAGGAGTCAGTCATGGCACTGGAAAGACTCCATGAGACTAGGTGAGGAGGGCAGGGCTCGGCGCTGACTGGGGCTGAACCTCACCTGCAAGCAGCTCCGTTCCGCCCTTTCTCGTGCCAGTGAGTGCTGCCTCTTCCCCTCCCCTGCGGGGCATCCACTGGAGCCCTCACCACTCTCACCGACCCACGGACCCCTACTCACCGCTCTCACCGACCCACGGACCCCTAGGCAGGTGTGGAGGTGGAGGAAAAGCAAGTTTCCACACTGTATTCGAATGTTGTGTCATTTATATTATGAACATTTTCAGATACTCAGGAGAATTGAAATAATTTTAGGGAACATTCATATACCCACCATAGAATCAACTCGTAACATGTGACTGTGCTGACTATGCCACATATATATCCATGTATCAAGCCCTCAATCCATCCTTCAGTTCACCTTTTTTTCCTCTGATGCATTTCAAAGTAAACTACAGACATTAGCATACTTCTAAATAATTTGGAATGGACATTATTAACTAAATTTCAATATTTGGTGACAGTTTTTTCTGCTTAGGCAGAAGTTACATGGGGCGTCCTTGGTGGCTCAGCAGTAAAAAATCTGCCTGCAGTGCAGGAGACCTGGGTGCAATCCCTGGGTCAGGAAGGTCCCCTGGAGAAAGGAATGGCTGCCCACTCAGTATTCTTGCCTGGAAAATTCCATGGACAGAGGAGCCTGGTGGGCTACAGTCCATGGGGTCACACAGAGCTGGACACGACTGAGCAACTAACACTTTCATTTTTTCACTTTCATACTAAGGTTTGTTTTCCATTCTGTTTAAAATTTTTTTTCAAACTTCTATGTTGAGGGATAATTAGCAAAAACTGTGTATACATGTGAGCTGTGGGTTTGTCATATATGTAGCCTTTGTTATGTTGAGGTTTGTTCCCTCTATACCCACTTTGTTGAGAGTTTTTATCATAATTTTGAATTTTGTCAGAAGCCTTTTTTGTATCTGCTGAGATGATCAGATGATTTTTATTCTTCAGTTTGTTACTGTGGTGAATCACACTGATTTGTGGATGTTGAACCATCCTTGCATTCCTAGGATAAATCCCACTTGATCATGGTGTATGATCTTTTTGGTGTATTGTTTTGTTTGGTTTTGTTAATATTTTATTGAGGATTTTTGGATCTATGTTCATCAGTCTATAATTTTCTTTTTGTGTGTGATATCTTTATTGGCTTTGGTATCAGGCTAATTCTGGCATTCTAGAATGAGTTCAGAAGTTTTCTTTTTTCTTTAATTTTTTTGGGATAGTTTGAGAAAGATAGGTGTTACTTCTGCAGATGTTTGGTAGAATTCATGCATGAGGCCATCTGGCCCTGGACTTTTATTTATTGGGAAATCTTTTTTTAATGATTCAATTTTATTGCAAGTAATTACTTGGCTCATATTTTGTATTTCTTCTTCATTTGGTCTTCAAAGATGATATGTTTCTAGGAACTTATTTATTTTGTCTGGGTTGTCAGTTTTATTGGTGTATAATTGTTCATATTATTTTCCTTTCTCTTGACAGAGAGACACCTGGGATGTTAATTTTTCACTCCTCTGAGTAGAACTTCTGTGACTACATTTGTATACAAGTGTTTTCATGAATTAGTTTTATTTTTCTAAGGCAAATAGTAAGAATGGAATGGCTGAGTCATAGGTTATGTGTGTTTAGTTTATGAGGAACGGAGAACTTTTTCCACCTGGGAAGCCCATTTATAATAGCTGTAAATGGAGTATAACCTTTAAAAATTGTGAAGCATTATACTGGATAACTGTAATATATAATATTGTACATCAACTATACTTCAATTAAAATATATCTTTTAGGGGTTTCCCTGGTGGTCCAATGGTCATTACTCTGTGCTGCCAATGCAGGAGGCAAGGGTTCAATCCCTGATTGGAGAACTAAGATCCCACATGTCGTGAGGTGTGGCCAAAATGAAAGGCTAAATTAAAAAACAAAAGATTTAAAAAATACTAAGTGGAAAAATCAGTAAACCAAATTATTTTTTTAATAAACTTATTTATTTTAATTGGAGGCTAATTACTTTACAGTATTGTAGTTGTTTTGCCATACATTGACATGAATCAGCCATGGGTGTACATGTGTCCCCATCCTGAACCCCCCCCACCTCCCTCCCCATCCCATCCCTCAGGGTCTTCCCAGGGCACCAGCCCCGAGCACCCTGTATCACGCATGGAACCTGGACTGGCGATCTGTTTCACATATGATAATATACATGTTTTAATGCTATTCTCCCAAATCATCCCACCCTCACTCTCTCCCACAGAGTCCAAAAGACTGTTCTATACATCTGTGTCTCTTTTGCTGTCTCACATATATAGGCTTATCATTACCATCTTTCTAAATTCCATATATATGCGTTAGTATACTGTATTAGTGTTTTCCTTTCTGGCTTACTTCACTCTGTATAATAGGCTCCAGTTTCATCCATCTTATCTTTACATCAAAAGGATGACCACATAGAATAACCTGATCCAGGCATTCATTGACAAAATTACTAATAAAAGGCACAAAATACAGCAAGTGAGAGATCAAGGAGATAATTATGTGTACTCACACTCTCTATTGGGGAGAAATTCTTTTTGAAAAAATAAATCCCATCTATTTCTTTCAAATTGAAATACTCTGGTGATGACAAAATAATAATGATGGTCACTGTGCTTTTTTTTTTTTTTTCCAGTTTCCTGGCATTTAACATGGACACAGTTGGTAATCTCACCTTTCTGTTTAAAGCAGTGCACTTTCGTGAAAGGATTCTTCAGCGGGGTTTGGTGGCCCGAATTTATTATAAGGTAAAGATACATTGTGTTATATTACTATTTTTCCTTTTGACATGTGCGTAAGGCATATTCTTGCTGGTGAAAGTGTTAGTCCCTCAGTCGGGTCCGACTCTTTGTGACCCAGTGGACTGTGGCCCGCCAGACTCCTCTGTCCATGGGATTTCCCAGGCAAGAATACTGGAGCGGGGAGCAATTCCCTTCTCAAGGGATTCTCCAAGGGATCTTCCCCTTCCTGCAAAATGTAGTAGAGGATGAGTCAGCAAGTCAGGCACAACTGAAGTGACTTAGCACACATGCAGCAATAATTACATGCTTCTGGAAAGGGCTAGAATTTCTATAAGCTATTTTTCATGATGGCATTGCTTACTGTGGAGGCCCTGATGCTACTGATGAACTGTGTCATCTTTAGAATGGGAGTTGATGAGTGGAGGGATTTTTAACCCTTACTGAAACTGAAGCATCATTGTCTGTCTGTAATAACAAATACATTATTTTCAGGGGGGAGGGGGAAAGTGCATCAGGCACATGTGGAAATTAACCATTGGGTTCGCCTGAGATGCACTCTATTTCCTACTAAAGTGCCCATGATGTTCTGAAAAAACATAAAACCTTGTATCAGTGTTGATAGAAATCTAGAGGTAGTTTCTACCAAGTGTGGTGCCGGTGGAGTTACTGGAGGAAACCCCTACCCCCACCCCAGCAATATCTGTTTCATCTCCTAATTCCAACATGGAATAGACAAGAAGACCCTAAGAGAAGGCTTTATCTACTTTCTGCCCAGACTCAGAGACTCAGGACTACCATAGCCTGAAATCAGACCTCTGCTCTCCGTCTGCAAAGGAATTAGGTTCCAAGAGGACCAGAACTGGTTCCCATGAAACTTCCCCCACAGCTTCAGTTCATCTCTTTTAACATGAATACCAAGATCACATCTCCCAGGACGACATCACCAAGGACAGCACAGAGTGGGAGGAGGATGCATGCCCCATTGGGGGATGGGTATTCTCTCAGGAAGTGCTCTTCAGCAGAGGAGCCCTGGAGCAGAAGTGGTCCAGATCCACTCGGGGAATAAGCCAGACTGATGAGCACCCACTGGGAGCTGGACCAAGTTTGTGCAAATTGGTCCATCCTCCAGGTGTGGGTCTGAGGTGAAGCCCTGGCACATGCCAAGGGCATGTTCAGGTGGGTTTAAGTCACTCCACATTCCCTGTCCTTATCAAACATGGTGCCAGCCAAAATAAGAGGAGGATGCCATCAAGACACTCTAGAGGCACTCGTGAGCAGAACAATGGAGAAAATGTAACCTGTGAATGAGCTTTCCAAGACTGCAGAAGTAAAGGATAAAGATCATGAGATGATAATCAACAGAGTGAAAACAGTCAAAATGCAACCTACAGAGAAGAAATATTCCTGAAAGTGCTGGAACAAAGGAGCAGATATAATAATCAACACAGAAGAAAAGTATTTTCCCTAGTGTAAAAAAAAAAATAAAATTTTAGTGGGAAAAAATACCCATACCTGAGGATAGCTTGCAGTTCTATAGTGAAGAGAATATCATTTAAGCAACCAGACAGAAAATAACAGTTTATCAACAAATTAAAAAAAGACAAGACTAGCTTCAATTCTTATTCACCAGCTCCAAATGGACTAAGGTTTCCTCCTAGAAAGAGGAAACCTCATGATCTAAGCGTACCATTCCAAGCCAGATTTAATCCATGAGTATTATATGCAGAGTACATCATGAGAAATGCTGGGCTGGAAGAAGCACAAGCTGGAATCAAGATTGCCGGGAGAAATNGAAATAGTTAAACAAAGTTGGATAGTTTTATATATTTTATTTTATCATTAACAGAGTTAAATAAACAACATAGTTGTTGTTGTTTAGTCGCTAAGTCATGTCCATCTCTTTTGTGATGCTGTGGGCCTTGGCCTGCCCAGCTTCTGACCGTGGGTTTCCCAGGCAGGAGAGCAGACTGGAACGGGTTGCCGTCTTCTTCTCCAGGGGACCTTGCTGACCCAAGGATTGAGCCCATGTCTCCTGCATTTCCTGCATGGTCAGGTGGATTCCTTACCACCGACCCACCTTAATTTTCCTCAACGCACATTTCATTTTGGAGACCCTTGGCCCACACACATTAGACAGTCCGTCTCCCTCTTAGTCCGGGATGAGTGCTGAGAGCTCGTAGTTCACAGTCAGAGTTAGGGAGTCGAGACCCCGGGTCCTCTCAAAAGACCTGCCGGTGCGGGGGACCCAAAGCTGGCACTCTGTCACAACCTAGAGGGGCGGGGTGCGGAGGCACATGGAGGGGACATATACATACCTATGGCTGATTCATGCTGATGTATCAGTATCGTTAAGTGATTTTGCTCTAATTAAAACAAAGGGAGACCTAACATCTGATCGTTTCATACCTATGGCTGATTCATGTTGATGTATCAGTATTGTTAAGTAATTTTGCTCTAATTAAAAAAAAGGGAGACCTACCATCTGATCGTTTCTTTCCTTCCTTGGTGCAGCCAGAATTTAACTCCGAATGGGCCCAGGCAATGTCCTTCTGTGCTCTGGTAACCTTGGAGGGAGCCTAACTCCAGAGCTCCCCTTGGAAGCCCCACTCCTCCAGTTTTCTAAAATCACCTTGCAAGCGTTGTTCATCGAGGTCACTGCATCATTTGCCCGTTAGTGGGGCAGGGAGAAGACAATAAACTTGTCACCTTGAGAATAGTTTATTAAGGGCTTCTTCCGTTCTGTGGGCTCCCCTGCTGGCTCAGCTGGTAAAGAGTCTGCCTGCAGTGCAGGAGACCCAGGTTCCATCCCTGGTTGGAAAGAGCCTCTGGAGGAGGGCATGGCGACCCACTCCAGTGTTCTCGCCTGGAGAATCCCATGGACAGAGGAGCCTGGTGGGCTACAGTCCGTGGGGTCGCAAAGAGTCGGAATCAACTGAATGACCAACACTTTCAGTCATTTCATAAAAGAAAAATATAAAGGAGACAAATGCATACCCTCAGTGATCAATATGTATAACAGATGACTGCTGAATTTCATATGTTTATAAGAAAAACTGGGCAGGTAGAGGGATGGTAGTTCAGGTGGGATGAGACTCCTCCTGGTTAACCAGCGGGTTAGTCCTTCTGTCGTCACCTGTAAGACTCCTTTGCTGCACTGGCAGTTTTTCCATTTCAGAGGGTGTGGAAATCAGCTAGGGATGAGTGATTTTAAAAGTCTCATTTATGATGCCCTCCTTCCCACTGCAAGGCTGAGTCCAAAGGAAAAGAGAAGTGGTTGGTATCAACAAGTAAAGACCATGAATCATCCTCAAAATCCAGGGGCTGTCATCTAAGTTGGGAACAACTACCCTAAGTTATTTTTCCTTATTTGGAATTTGAGATTTTGTTGGAAAAGAGTTAGTGGGGGTTTGAAATAAGGTTTCGGGTGATGTAACTTTGTAGAGCTTTCTGTATTTTTCATTCATTTATTTATTCAGCTGCGCCAGGTCTCCGTTGCAGCGCACGGGGCCTTTAGTTGCAGCATATGAACTGTTAGTTGTGGCATGTGGCATCTCGTTCCTTGACCAGGGATGGAACCCAGGCCCCCTGCATTGGGAGCATGGAGTCTTTGTCAGTGGACTACCCGGGGGGTCCCTAGAGCTTTCTGACGTCACCTACAGTTTTTATTGTTGTGGTTGGTGCAACCTGACTGCTCTGTGTGTGTGTGACTTTAACTTCTTTAGATCTTCAAAATATAACAAAATCATAGTGCCACTGAAGGCTATCTTTCTAATAGGTGATGCCAACTATTTGTTATACTTTTAGACTAACAGGTTCTTTGCCCAGGTCACCTGGTTGGCGTTTAGAACCTTGTCTGAGTTTCTGTCTGTGGAAAATGCAAGCTGTCCCTGTCGGTGATTGGATGGCACCTGCATGGCGTCTGCTGGAGGTCAAGCTGGCACGGTCTCCTCAGTCACAGGTCTTCCGGAACTTCGTCCAGTGTTAGTCGCTTAGTCATGTCTGACTGTTTGCCACCCCATATGGACTCTATAGCCCGCCAGGCTCCTCTGTCCATGGAATTCTCCAGGCAAGAATACTGGAGAGGGTTGCCATGCCCTCCTCCAGGGGATCTTCTCGGCCCAGGGACCAAACCACGTCTCCTGCATTGGCAGGTGGGTTCTTTGTTGGCAGGTGGGTTCTTCGTTGGCAGGCGGGCTCAGTGATATCTGATAAATCAGGGAGGATCCAGTGATAGCTGATAAATCAGAGAGGAGCTGGAAAATACCACTGTCACCAAAAAAGTAAAGTGTTACTCACTCAGCTGTGTCTAACTCTTTGTGATCCTATGGACTTGTAGCCACCAGGGTCTTCTGTCCATTAGATTTCCCAGACAAGAATTCTGAAGTGGGTTGCCATGACCTTCTCCAGTGGGTCTTCCCCACCCAGGGGTCAAACCCAGGTCTCCCGCATGGCAGACAGATTCTTTGCCATCGGAGTCACCATGGTTGCTGAACCCAGAAAGAAAATCCGATCTTCTTTGCTTGTACTTCCCTGGGAGTTTCAGAGCAGAGACAGGAAATAGAGAGTGACAGCCGCTGGGTTCTGTTTGTTACCATTTTAAAAGCCAACGGGCAGCCTGAAGAGCAGATGTTTTACGAAAAATCTCATGGTACAGAAATGCCGAGAGCTTTGTTCCAGAGGCAGATCATCAAAGGCAGGAAACAGGATTAGAAACTAAATTTCCTGAGTCACTGGTCTGCGTTGATCTTGGGTCTTCTAACTCCTGGGGTTTAGTTGGGCTGGGAGGATGCGCCAGAGACCAGGGCCAGCTGACAGACAGTCTTTGTGTCCTTGAGCACTGGGTACTGCCTGCGCAATAGTCACCTTGTACAAAAGTGAGGCTCCTCTGCTGACTGGGGCTGAAATTCCTTTAATGGGGTGAAATTCCTTTAATGGGGAACGTGTTCCCACTTCTCAGTGAGAGGTAAGGCTTACACCCCTGCAACTCTCGAGAGAGGGAAAGCGTGACTGACTTCCATGGCACAGTAAGCTGAACATGGTGCTGAGGAGGGCAGATGCTGGTCTGGAGAGAGCCCGGAGTGGGCAGACAGGAAGACCTGAGGCTGCCTGTGCCTGCCTCCTGTGAAGACTGGCACTTCCTTCTTGGTTGTTTCTGGTCACAGGAAACACTTCTGCTCTGTGATGCTTTCCTTTCTCTTGTTCTGTGCGTGTGTGCCTGCGTGCTCAGTCACGTCTGACCCTGTGATCTCATGGACTGCAGCCCACCAGGCTCCCCGTCCGTGGGATTCTCTGGGCAAGAATACTGGAGTGGGTTGCCATTTCCTTCTCCAGGGGATATTCCATACCCACAGATCAAATGTCTCTTATGTCTCCTGCATCGTCAGGCAGGTTCTTCACCTCTGGCACCACCTGGGAAGCCCTCTGTGATGTTTACTAGTGGGGACATTCAATTTCCCTCATTCTGGCTACGTTCCTTTATTAGAAAGAAGAGCTGTCCCTTTTCCACCAATTATTTATTTATTCAGATTTATATCAGTTCAGATTAATGGATATTCTATATTTGGGCTACATCCAATTCTAACATATTTTATTTTCTTGCTCAGATTGTTTCCGCTTTGGCCATTGAAAGCTCCTTTCACGTTAGCTAGCCCAAATGTCTGTTTGTTATGTCCCCATGATTTTTTTTTAGCACTTCTGTACTTTGGGTACCACAAGATGTCATAGGCTCATCTTTCATTTTCTCTGCCCATCCTGTAATCAACCATTTCTCCAAGAGTCCCTGGTCCTTTTATTGGAGAATAGCATTTAAAACCAGTATCTGGTTGCTGAGTATGTTAATTTGCTACTGGAATGTAACTATTTCTAGGCTTGTACTGTGATGTTTACTAGTGGGGACATTCAATTTCCCTCATTCTGGCTACGTTCCTTTATTAGAAAGAAGAGCTGTCCCTTTTCCACCAATTATTTATTTATTCAGATTTATATCAGTTCAGATTAATGGATATTCTATATTTGGGCTACATCCAATTCTAACATATTTTATTTTCTTGCTCAGATTGTTTCCGCTTTGGCCATTGAAAGCTCCTTTCACGTTAGCTAGCCCAAATGTCTGTTTGTTATGTCCCCATGATTTTTTTTTAGCACTTCTGTACTTTGGGTACCACAAAATGTCATAGGCTCATCTTTCATTTTCTCTGCCCATCCTGTAATCAACCATTTCTCCAAGAGTCCCTGGTCCTTTTATTGGAGAATAGCATTTAAAACCAGTATCTGGTTGCTGAGTATGTTAATTTGCTACTGGAATGTAACTATTTCTAGGCTTGTTCTGAGCTAGAAAATAGATATAGGTTTACTCGCACCTTCTCACACAGATTTGTATGTACTTACATTAGAAACCACGAGTTTTTACTGGTAGTTCTGATTCCAATCCCAAACCACAAGCCTTCCCTCTTTCCTATTTGTAATGTCTTTCTCTGAGAAAGTGAGAAATCTGGCTTTGACTGTCTACTATGTTTATTTATTTGATCTTCCCTAGTATACACATTAAGTAGTTTCAGAATTGCTAGTCCGTCTCTCTGTGAGAAACACATTTACAACTAGAACACAGTATTTCTTTGTGAATGTAGCTTACAGTACCTAAAAAAGTAGTATTTCCCAAATTTACTTCAATATGTTTTTTTCCTTCTCCTTCAGTGAGATTATGTTATTTATTTGCAACACAGCTGTTAATAGTAAATCACTACATGTAACAAGATACAAACTCAATATCCAAAATAAATGTACTTTTATACACTATCAATAAATAATTAGAAGACACAATGTAAAATTAAATTAAATTTACAACATCATTAGAAAACATGAAATTCTTGGGAATATACTTTGCAACAAAAATTCAAGTAGTGCAAGATCTATACATAGAAAACTATAAAGCATTGCAGAAGGTAATTAAAGGGAACTTAAATGGGTAGAACGGTACATCGTATCTGTGCATGGAAAGACCCAGCATCGCTGTGATGCTCATTCTCCTTAAATGGGTCTGTAGATCTGACTCCATCTCAATCAGATTTGCAGCGGCAGACATTTTTGTAGAAACTCACAAGAGGATTTGGCGATTCATATGGAAATACAAATACTCTGAAATCGCCAAAATGACTGAAGAGTTGAAGAGCCGTGGAGGCCGTGTGGCACCTGGTTTCAGAGTTTACGTCTGTGCTGCAGTTACCCAGAGAGTGTGGATTTGGCATAATGATGAACACGCAGGCCAATGGATCAGTATAAAGTCCAGAAAACTGACTCACAAATATATGTTCACTTGATTTTTTACAAAGGTACAAAGGGAATTAAATGATGAAAAAAAATCTCAACAAATTGTTTGACAAACAGCTAAATATTCAAATGGAAAAAATCGATTCCTCATATAACACAGAAAAATTAACTTGAAATTGACCATAGACTTAAAGTGGAAACTTAAAACTTTCAGAAGAAAACATGGGACTCTTTCTTTGGAGTTGGTGCAGACTAAGATTTTTTAGTGAAAAAGATAAAAAGCACCAACATTCAATTAAATATTGACCAGATTTAAAAATTTTAAATTAAAAATATTGCTCTCCAAAAGACATCAGTAAGAAAGCAAAAAGACAAGCCATAACCTTGGAAAAATTATTTGCAACACATGTATCTGACAAAAGACTTTTATCCAAAATAAAGACCTTCTCTAACCCAGTAACAAAAAGGTACAATCTAAGAAAAATTACACAAGAGACTTGAGAGACATTTCAAAAAAGAAGATAAAAGAATGGTAATGAGCACATGAAACTTTGCTCAGTCTTATTAGTCATCAGGGAAATTGAAATTAAAACCACAGTGAAATACCACGACACACCCACTGCAGTGTGTTAAGCTAAAAGGGTGTAAGTCAATCATGGTGACAGTATAGAGCAAGGGGAACTTTGATCATTGCTGTAAAATAGTGATAACTGATCTGAGAAACAATTTGGCAATTCCTTATAAAGTTAAATACACAGCTACCCTACAACCAGCATTTTCCCCCCTAGGTTTTTATGTAAATACCAAGAGAAATGAAATTCTGCTCACAGAAAGACTTTTACAAGAATGTTTATAGCATCTGTATCAATAATAGCCCCAAACTGGAAACAACCCAAATGTTCATCTGCATGAAATTAGGTAAACTAATTGTAATATCTTCATACCACAGAATTGTATCCAGCAATAAAAGGGATAAACTACTCTTACATGCAGCCACGTAAGTGAATTTTACAGATGTTATGTGTACTGAAAGAAGCCTGGAAAGAAGTTAATAATGTATGATTCCATTTATATGACATTCATTCAGGAAGGGGTGAAATTAGTTAGTGGTGGTCTGTGGATGAGAGAGTGAGAGGGTGTGGTATGGGCTGGGAAGCGAGTATAGTAGAGGGTTTGGGAAATTTCTTTATCTTGGTGTGGATGGTTACATGGGTACATACACATAAAGAAGTCATCAAGCTGTCAACTTAAGATTGATGCATCTGACTGCATGCTTTTTATGCTTCAATTAAAATATGTAAAGATACAACCTAAGTGGCACCTCACAGCGGTTAGGTTGCTTGCATTGCAGGCACTCTTCATCTTTTCTTATATGAAATTGGAAACTCAGAACTTTCCAAGATTCAGCCACTGAATCTTGATACACTAATTGTGAAAAAGAAGAAATGGCAAATGGCAGAAACATTCACCAAGTGTCACTTCTGTGCTGGAGAGTTTTCAGTGGCATACCAAAACACAGTTGTGGGCGCCCAGACCAGCCAGCAGCATGGGATCCAGAGCATGGTGACAGATGACAGGGGAGGTCTGGGCAAGGTTAAAGGAACCCGGCAGGAGGTGAGCTATTGAGGGTTGGCCCCGAAGTCAGGCCATGTACCCTAAAGATTCTGAACCTTCTATTAGAGATCTTGACATCTGAAAGTCTGGGCCATGGGAAGCAGGTCCCTGGCCAAGGTGGCAGGAAAGGCTCGGGCATGGACAGTGGGGCAAATCATCCAGACAGGGCACGGGACAAGACAGAGCTTAGTCTGAGAGACATGCAGATTCACGGGTACATGTAGCAAACTCAGGACTCATGGTTGAAGAGCATAGCATACAAAGGACATTTTTCTAGTTTATGGAATGCTATTTACTGGTGAGTTTGACTTGGTGTAAATGACTGAATACTGAACAACAGTTTCTTTTTTGGGGTCTCTCCTGTTATTTTTCCTCCAGTTTCATTGGATGTAATTGACATAGAACACTGTGTAACTTTTAGGTGTACCATGTGATGATTCGTATATGTTGTGTACTGATTAGCACACTACTGTTAGTTAACACTCATCAGCTCACAGTTACATTTTTGGTAGAGAGTGAGACTTTGAAGATCTACTTTCTAGCACCTTATATGTGTATAGTATAATATTGTTAGCTGTAGTCACCATGCCATACTTTATTTAGGTCACGAGACATTTTTCCCCTTGACCAACATGTGTCAATTTCTCCCACCCCCAACCCCTGATAGCCACCATTCTATTCCCTCTCTGTGACTTCATCTTTTTAATTTTATTTATCTAAAGATTTTTTCTTTTATGTGGACCATTTTTAGTCTTTATTGAATTTGTTACAATATTGCTTCTCTTTTATGTATTGGTTTTTTGGCTATGAGGCATGTGGGATCTTAGTTCGCCAACCAGGGATCTAACCTGCCCTGCCATCTCCCCCACCCCACCCCCGGATTGGAAGATGAAGTCTTAACCACTGGACTTCCAGGGAAGGCCCAGCTTCAGCTTTTTTAGATTCTGCATATAAATGAGATTGTAAAGTTATTTGTCTTTCTATGCGTGACTTATTTTACTTATCATAATGACCTCAGAGTCTATCTATGTGGTTGCAAATGGCAGGATTTCCTTTCTTCTCATGCTGAATGGCTATTTCAATGTGTGTGTGTGTGTGTGTGTGTAATACATTGACATGAATCAGCCATGGATTTACATGTATTCCCCATCCCGATCCCCCCTCCCACCTCCCTCTCCACCCGATTCCTCTGGGTCTTCCCAGTGCACCAGGCCCGAGCACTTGTCTCATGCATCCCACCTGGGCTGGTGATCTGTTTCACTTTATATTTCCCTGATGATTACTGATGTTGAGCATTCTTTCAAGTACCAAGCAGATTGGGATGAACACACCTAGACTCCCATGTGTGAAGCAGATAGCCAGCAGGAAGCCGCCGTGTAGCACAGGGCGCTCAGCTCAATGCTGTGACGACGCAGAGGCGGGACGGGGTGGGGTGGCAGGCAGACCGAAGAGGGAGGGGATGTGTGTGTACCATAAGCTGACTCACGTCGTTGTCCAGCAGAAACTGCAGTGGGGTGATTGCATCGGTGGAGTGACTGCAGTGGTGGGTCCTCACTGCGGGGAGCCTTGTACACCCTGAGTATGGGGTCTAGAACCTTCTACCTTCCCTGCAAGTGGCCGGAGCACATTGGTGTCAGGAAGATCATTCTGGAGTCAGTGATGAGAGGGGGGCCCCTTGGAAGGCCACAGAAATCGTCACCCCAGAAAAGTTGGGATCTAGTCTGAGCTAGGAGGGGTGGCAGAGGGCTGCAGTCCTTTGGGTCACACAGAGTTGGACATGACAAGCAACATAGCATGCACGGCAGTGAGCGTGAGGGGTGGGGGTGAGACTTGGGCCAGTTTAATGGAGAGAACGCAGCAGGTGGAGTCAGGAGCGCCCCCAGGGCTTCTGGGGGAGACTCGATGTCACCGGTGGCCACTGAGGCACAGAGCCCTGTGGAGTCCAAACTGCAGTGGGTTTGTGCTCTTGCCCCCCCATCTCTTGTTCCCTGTGTTCACCCTAGACCCCCACGGGTGAGTCCTCTGTGTGCCGCACCCCCGGCCTTTCCCACACAGTCCCAAGAACGCCTCCTTCAGCTGTCTTATGGGCCAAGCACCAGGTGAGCTGCTGCGGAGAATCAGGAAACAAAGATCCCGAGGGCTGATTCCTTTCCCACATTAAATGTGCATTATTCTGCCTTATGACAGCTTTAGGCAGTCACTAAGGGCAGTCAGGTTCCATAACATCGTCTTCAGCTAAATGCAAAGATCGTGTTCTTGAAACAAGATCTTTCTAGCTGATGGTACTCCAAATGCACACTTCAGTGCCTGTAAAATCTATTTATGGTCTCCTGATTTCCACCCCCTACCCCCACCTCTATTGCTCCTCCACTGGAACAGTTAGAAGCAATTTCAAGAGGAGGACACTGCTAAGAAAGGAGGAAGGCATCACCCATCTGTTTATTGACATATCCGTTATTGGAAATGATCAAGATCAATTTCAGGGGCTTGTATTCAAACGTATGCTAAATGACCAAAGAAGCTGTATCATCTGATATTCGTTTTCTGTTCTGAAAGACTCAGTAATAAAACGCAGACTCTTCGTTTGACACAAAAAGGGAAAAGGAGGAGAAATTGGGAAGTAATGTATTCAATTATAGGAGCCCTTTGCCAAGAGCCTATTGATTTCATCTTCTAACAATTTCAGCCAAGCCTTAGTGGTGAAAAGATTCAGAAACAGGTCAGATCAAGCACATGTGTCCCCCCTGCCCCATACCCTCTCCTGGACAAAAATAGTCAGGTTTTCGCTAGGAAAGGGCTCTGTCTTGGGGACCTGTTCATACTTCCAGGACCCAGACCAGAGCTTGGAAGGCAGCACCAGTGAGAGAAGAGCCTGCAGAGACCCCCCAAAGCTGCAGTCTCCATAACTGTCCTGCAGTGAGAAGCCTCACCTGGAGCCCCACACGTCTTGGTTGCCTATACTCCTCTCTACGAAATTTCCTCCTGCTTTTTCTGTGCCCTCTGCATCCAGCTGTATCCCAGCCCTTCACCTGGAATCCACCTCTACTCCCAGCACCTGTCTGTGAGAGGGGAGTCTTTCATTGCCTACTGGCCCTGCCCACTCTGCTGGGTATCAGGCAGGTCTCAGTCCTGCTCTACGCAGAGCAGTGTGACAAGAAGGGCTCCAGTGGATGGATGTGCAAGCTTGGTGGAGACCAGAAGGTGCACATTGGGACCACGACGTGGAGGGGAGCTCTCGGGAGAAACTCGGAGGGAGCAGTTGGTGGGGAAGGCAGAGAGAAGGGTACACACACCACTCTGAAGTAGGCAAAGGCATGTGTTTTGAGATTGGATGGTTCCGGATGGAGAGGAGCCATGTGCACATGCACATCCACAGGCGTCTTTGCAGGCAAGCTAGCGTTACTTTGCAACAAAGGTCCGTCTAGTCAAAGATATGGTTTTTCCAGTAGTCATGTATGGATCTGAGAGTTGGACTATAAAGAAAGCTGAGCGCTGAAGAATTGATGCTTTTGAACTGTGGTGTTGGAGAAGACTCTTGAGAGTCCCTCGGACAGCAAGGAGATCCAACCAGTCCATCCTAAAGGAAATCAGTCCTGAATATTCATTGGAAGGACTGATCCTGAAACTGAAACTCCAATACTTTGGCNGACTGATGCTGAAGCTGAAACTCCAATACTTTGGCCACCTGATGGTGAAGAACTGACTCACTGGAAAAGACCTTGATGCTGGGAAAGATTGAAGGCAAGAGGAGAAGGGCAAAACAGAGGATGAGATGGTTGGATGCCATCACCAACTCAATGGACATAAGTTTGATTAAACTCCAGGAGTTGGCGATGGACAGGGAGGCCTGGAGTGTTTCAGTCCATGAGGTCTCAAAGAATCAGATTCGACTGAGTGACTGAACTGAACTGAACAAAACTTATTCCAGCTATTTAGCTTTTGCTTTGACTGTTGCTTGAAAACTTCGTAAATCCAGTCCAAGAGCAGTTGGCAATGCCTGAGTAGATTGGTGCCGTAAAAGAGGACTGTAAAATTGAACTTATTTGAGCTATCAAAATAAAAAGACTGACCCTTATTTATATAGCATATTTTTTAGCCTTGTCTTGTTTTACTGCACAAATCCCTGGAAAAGGAGTGAGAATGAGCCGAAAGTATGGTAAAATATGATTTTTAAAAATAAGAAAAGAAAGAATTTAAAATGTGATATTTGGCTTGTTGTTTTTAAAAGATGGGCCTGTCCATAAGTATGTTACCAGAGATTTCTATGAGACAATTTGCATATAGATAAAGTCATTTATGTATAAGGCCAGTTTATATTCCATTCTCCATTAGAAATAAATATGAATAACGAGGTCTTGTCATTAAACAGA